TCGCAACTACAACCCTTTAGATTAAACCACAATTACTGAATGAAATCACTTTAAAACAACATTTTCACTATCAAATAACAATACCCAATAGCTAAATTAACCCATAATCACATATCACACCACAAGAAATGGGGTTTTAGCTAGACATAGTAAAAAATAAGAAATTGTTATCAAATTGTGTTTTCATCAACTAGGTAAGATTAATATTGTCTTTACAGAGGTCTAAGATGAAGAATCTTCGACACCCACTTTCAATTTTTTTAAATTAGAAATCTTCAAAACTAAGAAAATATTGTCTCTAAACTCTCAAACTTTAAAATTGAATAATATTATTATTCATCAAAAACTAAGATTTCGAAAATGATGCGAAACTAAAAATTTAAACAAGTATTTATAGTCGCCAAAGATTGTGTTGCGTAAGATCATTTGATCCAGTTAGTCGGGATCGCTGATCCACTCAAGGATCCACCCTTTGGTCAATTCCGACGCCTTTCTGCTTTGCCTTTAACAACTTTAATTTCTGTAACTTTGGACGATAAGGCCCTGCATGCGGAATCGTTCAGCGACTCGCCGACTGCTCCTTTTTATCGCCTACTTGATTTTCTCCTTCAGGGCTTGACACGCTCGAACATTATGCGAGTCCATGGCCGTTCGGCGACTCGCCCAATAGATAAGGCGATCCTTAGACTTTCTTTTCTTCGTTCTTTCAATTGTCTTATTTTTTCCTCGCTAGTATCCATGCTTTGTTCCTCAATCCAAATATCCGAAAATCTAGAATTTTCATTAGCTATTTGGCACAAAATATGCATTCGTGGACCCTAAATCTATTAAAATAAAGCCTAAATGAGTTCAAATTGTGTAATTATCAGTACTTCTATGTGAAGATCACTTAGGAACTAACAAAATAAAAATATACAATTACTCTTGTATATCATGGTAAATTATTAAATGAGGCTAATATACTAAGAATAAAATGTAAGTATGCTAACACTTAACGGGTTAACGGTTTACCCGATAAAGAAATTGAATAATCCGTCCTTACGCCAAAAAGTTGTTAATCATAAAACTTTAATATGTTTCCTAACCGTTTATTCACTGAGCCAATTTTACAATTAATTTATCGATTACGATTCGATTTTAAACACCAAAATTCATATGTAACTGAAATTTAGCCCATTTTCATATACACTTTCTCTTTTAGTTTTATCTGTTCACTTCATTGACGAACCGAAGTGCAGGCATATGCACGCTTCATCTGCAATATTGTAACCAAAGATTGACATTAGTATTAATTAAACGTACATACTTGGTTCTTAATCAAGATTATAATTTTAATAAGAAAATGTTTTGGAAGTTAGCGCTAGCTAACAAGATCAAGCATCAATAAACAAAGTGTTTTAAGTTTGATCTTATCAAATTATATCGAACCGCAGATAAAAATATTTAATGTTTGACTTTTACAAGGCCGCACATCATGTAAATATATCTGAAATCAAACGTAATCTAGTTATGTGTTTGATGTAAACTTACATAACTTTGAATTTGTACATATCTAAAGTTATTCTCGAAATAGACTGCTTCAGAGAAAAAGAATAATTTTGTTGATTTTTGTTTACGTTGCAAACCGAATGTGTACTGAATTTTGTGCCTAATTATGTTGGGCCGCCAAGAATTTTGTGTCTAATAGTCGCATATATTGGACCTACTTGGCATTTACTTCATTTAATTTGCACCTAAGGACAAACCATTATATATTTCTTTTGTTACGTACTTTTTTGTCCTTAATTATTTGATTACTTTTTAATTGATATATTTATTAAAAAAAATAATTTAGATAATAAATTTATTATTTTATTTTTATTAATTAGAAGTGGATGAATTAAAAATTTAAGATTTTAAAAAAATATTTTTTTTAAAATAATTAATTGAGAATATAATAAAATAAAAATAATTTTTTTTAATTTATCAAAATGAATAAATAATTAGGGACAACCAAAAAAAAAAAAGATATACAAATAATTAGGGATTGATGGAATAAAAAGCAACACCTGTCTATTGGTATTTTGTGCTCAAGGCTATTTTGCAATTTTTACTGACCATTTTTTTTCACTATATGAAAATCTAGCTTTGCTAACAATTGACTAAGTTTGAATCTTTTTATCGACTGTTATTAAGCACATAGAAGATCATTTGTCAAGACATAACTCAATAACTTTTGCTCTATCCTTATGCTTCCTCCGTCCACCTCTATTCGTCATGTTAAGTTTTTCAAAGTTAATTTGATTAATTTTTAAAATTAAATTAGATAAAAATTTAGATAAAAAAAAATTAGATATTCAAAAATTATATGAAAAGTACTATAAATTGCATTTTTTTGCATATCAATATGATAAAAATTGCATTTTAAAATGTTAGTCAAAGTTCTTATAACTTGACTCTAAATATAGATATTATGACAGTTAAAATTGGACGAAGTAATTCATTTTTAAACTATAGTATATTTAAATAATTTACTCACAACTCAATAATCTATCTTTTCTAAACTTGATTAACAATGTAGTAGCTTCACTCTTGCCCATGAAAGAAAACATCAAACTTGATGTCTCTAATTCATTACATAAAGTAGGAGTTCTTTTCCATAATTTATTGAAGAAAAGGTAAAAGTCCATACTACATATGAAGGAATTAAGCCTAACACATATAGAAAGACTCAAAAAAGGGAAATGAGTGGGTTTGGTGTTAGGAGGGAAAAATTATTATAGTACTAAATAAACACCATCATGTTGTCCATAACTATACATTTGGTGGAAAACAAATCATATTAAAAAGCATTAATATATGGATGGGCAAGGATTTCTATTTGACTTTCTCTTCCATCCAAACATCATGCCACACATAACGTTGGATGTTAATTCGGTGCAAATTTGTAATATGATATTTATTAGCGGAATCAGAGCTTTTCATTAAGAAGAGTAGTTAAAATAGAAAGATATAAATACGTTAGATGAAATCAAATTCGAAATGGCGTAGCTATATTGATTCAAGAATGATCACTCAAACATTCTTTGTTTGAAAATTTTCTACGTATAAAACTTAACTTTATACGTATAGAAATAATAACTTTTTTTTTAGATCCCGCAAGGACATGGTTGAGTGCTTGGGGGGTGAGTTCCCATAAGGAAGACCTGAGATTGAATCTAGCCTCCATGTGCAACTCGACCATAAACTCATAACATGAGACTTGTTTAGTCCGGTTTATATCTTCTCTAAGCTATTGTACGATGAGAATGTTACCACATAGTGTTGTGTATTTCCAAAAGAAAAAACCTACTTTTCTTTTAGAGATAGAAACTAAAATTTTGGATATTTTTTTAAAAAAATATAATTTTACAACTAATTACACAAAATAACTAAATAATTATATACATAAAAAAAATTGATTTATTTATATGGTGAAACTTGAACGAGCAAAAAAATGGGGAAAACATCTGATCGAAATATACTCGAACTTTAATAAAATTGATGTAACAATACAGACCTTTAGAAATAATCTTTTATCTTTTTACTATTTAATAATATATTTTAAATATATATATCTGTTCAGGTGGATATCATAAATATTACATAATTATAAATAGTAATATGTCCACGTAAACATATACATACCTTTAAAATACATTATTAAATAATATAGGAGATTAATATTAAAATATTTTTGAGACACATTTTCTAAAGAAATGTCAATTGTCTCATGTAGCACAAGAATGGAGTCTCACTCTTTGAAAAAACTTAGGTGTGGGGCAATGGCTCTTTTAACAGAAATGTACTATGTTGTGAGTCAAGTCAAAATAAGAGTTAAATTTAATTAAAAGAGGTGACAATGATTTGTAAACTAATTTTTGAAGTAGGCTAAAATAGTACATGTGCTTCACTCTTTGGTCAACAACATGTTAAAACTGATTTCTGACATTTTTGAACAAGGAATTTATGAGTTTCATGTAACTAGAATTTCTTTTCTATAATAGAGTCACTAGTCAATATTTCTACTTAAAATTGAAAAATAAGTACACATTGTAAAACAAGTTTAACTAACATTTTTCAGATAAATAATTATTTGATGAAAAAGAATGGAGTATTTGACTTTTAAAAGTGTAGACTATAAACGTGCTTTTTAATTTAATTTTAGTTGATATTTGATTCTTTCACTTATATTTGTATAAAGTTAAAACAATTAGATATACACTTCTTACATGATATATTATGAATCAGTTCGAACCTATCTTAGATAAACTGTCACATAAAATATCTTTAATTTTAAGATTTTCTCTAATTCAATTTATGAATGGCCATATAAAATCAATTCATCAAGAAATATTTTAATATCAAATTTTATAGGGAAATTATTTTCATGATCCAGCAACCAAACGACCACACAAGGCTCCCAAATTTCATTTGCAACAGAAGTGGAAAGGGTATCTCGGTCACAATTTCTGGTTTTGTTTATAGTTGTTGAAAGTTGTCAAACATTTAAATGTAACTACAACTGTTAACTGTTAATAGTGAAAAATAAATAAAATTCCGATTTTTAATTAAAAGCCTCAAATCAAATAGTATTGATTTATTTATTTTGGTTAGCGATCACTTTTTCCTCAATTCAGTTCAAATTTCAAAATAAATACAGGAGCAAGAAAATAAAAAGGTTCAAAATTACGGTCAAAGTTAGTGACATGTTGAATTACCATATTCAATCCAACTTTGACACAGCAATTCGATAGTACGTTAATTGGTATGTATTTTAATTTTTTAATATATGATGTGATATTCGATGTTTATAAAGAAAATATTGAAATATCGAAAATTATATGTGTATTTACATATAAAATCGATTGTATACATGAATATAAATGGTAATTAATTAACAAAAAGAATTGATTTTGCTTTTTTAAAAATATTTTTTTTATATAAAATGTTAGTATGATACTTTATCCGTTCGATATTGTTTGTCACGATTTCTATTTTTGGAGAAATTTGACTATCATGTTATTCGTCGTTTTAGACGCCTTAGCAGCCATGGTGAGTCTTTTTTCCCTCTTATTTGACTCTAATCTTCCTTTAAAATATACCTTCAACTGTCATTTCCTTCTACTCTTTTCTTCTTCTTCTACACTTTTCCCCCTTCCTTAATTAGACCAATTTTTTGTCTTTCTTCATATCTCAACTCTATACATACACTATCTTAACATATTTCCATCTTCATCTTTTCTCTTTCTAATTTTTTTTTTTAATTTCTGGATCTTAAAGCTCTTACACTTGGGTGTTTTGATCGAATGCCTTGAGAAGATTTTACTTTCTGTGTTGTATCCTATTTGAATCTCAAATTTTGAACAATTTTCAGAGTTTGAAGATCGAATAACACACACAAAAAAGAATATTAATAGCTCATTTGTTAGAGCGTCGAATATCCTTGAGTATTTGGTAAATCCAGAATTGGATTCAACTTTCTGGATTAGCTCAAAAATAAATTACTTTTCTAAAAATGGCGGATGTTTTGCAGAACAATGGTAAACTGGATGATCCAAGTATGATTGAGCTCACAGGGAAAATACTAGTGGTAGCAGTCATAGTTCTCTTTCTTGTATTGATGTTAGTCTTCTTTCTCCACCTTTACTCAAAGTGGTTCTGGAACCAACGCCGGCAAGCGGACAACCACCGCAATGCCGCCACACGGCAGCGGCGGCGCCGGCGCCGTTTCGACTTTTCTCCAGGTCATGAAGTTAATGTTACATCTGTTCTCAACAGGGGGCTTGACCCTGTTCTTCTTAAAACAATTCCTGTAGTTTTATTCGATCCAGAAGAATTCAAAGATGGATTGGAATGTGCTGTTTGTCTTTGCGATGTTTCTGAAGGTGAAATGGCGAGACTTTTGCCTAAATGCAATCATGGATTTCATGTAGATTGCATTGATATGTGGCTTCAATCTCATTCTACTTGCCCGCTTTGTCGAAACCCAGTCATGTTACAAGAAGCAACAGTGGAAACCATACTTAGAACACCAATAGAAGAAGAGGTGATAAATTTCCCAACTAATGTGTTGTTTTGGGGAAATGAGAATCAAGTGAGCACAATGGGTTCTAATAATTTGGAGGAAGATTTGCAGGATCCTAATTCTCCTCCACCACCAGTAGCATCACCATCATCGTCATCCTCGTTAGATTCTACGAGTGACAGACCGTGTGTTTCATTGGCAATAGATATTCCAAGGCAGATTAACGAAGTAGTAGAAGAGGAAGAAGATAAATCTCCAATGCCCACAAGATTGAGGTCTTTGAAAAGGCTCTTGAGTAGAGATAATAGGGTTAATCCTTCAAGTCCAAGAATTAATATAGATATAGAACAAGGAGGCAGATGAGGTGAAACTGTTTTTTTATTTTTGATGTAAATTTCAAATGATTAGAGAGATCTTTGATGTTTGAAAAAAAAATGGAAATCTCTGAAAATGTTGTCGCACCCATGTCGAATTCTTCAAAAATGCACTATTTGAGAAAGATCAGACAACACCCAATAACATTTTTGAAGAGTTGTAGAACTCTCATTCGTTTATTATTCTTGATGCAGATGTGAAGTTTGACACTTTCATCTTCTTATAGTCGGTAAATATATGATGTATATGTATAAACAATAACGCAGTGGGCTTCTCTATTTGAGAATGAAACAATTTATCTCTCTTACATAACAGTATTTCAGTTATTTTGTTGAAAAATATCAATGCATCTTTTGTTGCAGAAAGAAATAATTAAACCAAGAGTGATCAAGCTAAAATTATACAGTAGATATTAAGAAGGCTATATTGACCAAAGTCTAAACAAATTTCATTTAGGTACTTAAAATCTTACTCGTTTTAATTCAGCATCTGAACATATTTTTATCAGACACTCTCGGTTCAAATTATGGACTTGTTTTCTTGCACCTATTCTCTTATGCTAATTACTTGGATAAGTTAACACTTGCAATAAACCTCAGACATATTCCAATTGAAGATGATGTAAATAATTAAAAGAGATGACATACTTAAGTGATCAACTTATTCACATAATGGAAATTTTAGATAACACACAAAACATGTTAACAAAATTTAATCATGAAATATCTAATAAAAATATTTTATCACGTGCTCAATTAAAACAAGTCAGTAATTGCAATGTCTAAATAAAATTTGCTGAGGAGTTGTCCAGTGAATGTAAGGCTTTATGATGTAAAGTGCCCTTGAGGATTGTCCCATTAACTATTTAATGGAGATGCTAACCAATGTGAAATTGAATTTTCTTTTCTAAACTTGCATTAACCAAATGTTGGCAAAGCTAGAGATATATGACAAACCTAGAACATTTTGCACTTACAGGTAATCACACAGAGAAGTATAACACAACCATAGAATTCGGATACTTTGTTCTAGAGAATAGCAAGTTCCCTGCTAATGAAACTCACCATCAAAGCTGAAGTAGCGGCAGAGCCATTACAACACCAAATATTGATACTAGCAACAGCAACAACCAAGTTGGCAAAGATTTCCTCCGTTGGTTCTCCATGTCCTTATGGGGCTCTACGCTATTCAAACCATCCAACAAGGGTGAGGAAATTTCCGCTTGAGTTGGCATGGATGACACCTGCTCCTGGTCTGGATGCACCAGGAGCTGCTGCTCTTCATACTTCTCCACATACTCTGGAAACAATTTTCTAAAGGTAGGGCTGAGATGCAAAATTAGTGAGTTAAAAAGGTATCAAACAGAAGGGCTATTCAAACAATTGACATTATTGTGAAAAATAGTAGATCACTTATCATGTAACAGATTTTGTACTGCATGAACTATACAGCTTAAGGCAATTATCTGAAACAAATACAAGGTATGCAGCGTTGAACTCGTAGTTGACTCACTTCTTACAATTGAAAGCAAGAGAAGTCTTAGCAAGCTTCTGTTTCTCAGCAACTGTTGTTGTTACACTGCCTGTGGTAGGGCTGGTGTCCATCTGCAGGATGGGAGACATAAAAGTTGCCACTAATGCAAATGAAATGTTTTTTTGATAACCAAAATCAGAAATTAACAAACGTTGTTGCCTAGGACTAATGCAAATAAATGTTTGGGACGCAAAAAAAGATTTTGAGCTATAGGATGTACAGAAAGGAATATTTCATGGATTTAGTCGTCTATGGTTTTCAAGATATCTATAATAAGCATTGTGGATAATGCAGGCCTAATATGGACCAATTATTCAGCATACTAAAATATAGGGGTTCCATATCATGAAAAGCCAGATTTGAAATGATCCATGTTGCGGAACCAAGACAACCTATCTTACTAACAATAAGAAAGGGTTAGTGTCAAGAAGCAGTAACCATTTTGAAAGATAGAAAAGAGAAAGGCGTCCTACCAGACGGGGTGGGTAACTAGGAGGGTTACTGCAGTTCTCTAAGCAGGCAAAGGGAAATTAGGAAGAATTCAAGGCAGCTCCCACATCTCCTTTGCACCACTCGAAGGTGGCTTTACGTTATGTTCAATAGGTCAGTGGGATAAAATAGGATTTAATTTCAACCTATAGCTGGTGGAGTTCAAAATAAGGACCATATTTTTTTAGTGCTGCTTGATGTGTAAAGACAGAAGAACCCAACTGTCATACACATAAAAGAAATGAGCATTAACTAAAAAAAAAAGAGAGCAATTCAGAAAAATAAATCAGTAATGAAAATGAAATCAGGTCCTTTACCATAAAAGAGAGCAGTCCAGTGAGTATGCTGCAGGTAAGTGGAGGAAGATCAATCCAAATGAAGAAATATGACTAAGAACAACATAGTAAAACGAAATATTCAACTTATTTCGGAAAAACAAAAAATACAGGTTTTTGCTACTTTGTTCTGAAAAGTAATAAAAAAAATACTTCAACTCACATTTTTGTTATACAAAAAGCGGAAATAAGTTTTGTGGGCAAAATAAAGATTTTCAGACAAATTTGACTGAAAAAAAGGAGAGCTATGGGATGGCGAGACAAATAAAGTCACCATATGTTTTACTCTTTGATAAGTATATTGTAAGTTATTACCTTGACACAGACCACATAGGGTTCCAGCTCTCTGGGTGAACTGTGAAGTAATATGGCATAACGAAGGTCAGGGACACCAAATCCATTCAAAACAACAAACAATAGTAACTATAATGCACTCTATTAACACTTACAATCACTCATAGATAAACAAATTTTCTTGTGTGTCATAAACCTTCCATTTGGAGTAACCATGCTACAGACAAAGCAAACATAGTTGATGTGATTCCAAATAACGAAAAGAAAACCTTACTGAGACACATTGCTCAAAGAGTAGAAACAAGTCTGGGATAATCAAACTGATCTGAATATAGATTACCTGATTCCAGGAGGTTTAAATGGATATTCTGGAGGAAACTTGATCTTACCATAATATAATCCACCTTATTATTGAAGTTGGCAGCATTTCACAAGCAACAACCAAAAGAGAAAGAGTAACTCAGAAAAACGACTAGAGTATTCAAAGGTGATAAAAAGAGTGTCAAATGATAAGGTTTGGGAAGAAGGTGCATCACATTACAGTATTAGTGCATTTTCAAAATAAATATCAAAGTTAGTTAGGGAAAGTAGAAACCTGCAAAGGGTGTTCCTTCACTCCCCTCCAAAACGTAATCTGGACATGAGATTTAGGTAAAAGTGGGAAGATTAGGAAAAGCAAAGCAAACAGCTAATGAGTCATCCGACAAAAAGAAGCTAAAACTATAGCACATTGGCAAGTAAGCCGAGAAAAATATATGCACTAGAAGAAGAGCATCAGATGATACATAGCAATTTCATTCCCTAATTGGCAGTCTTCATTTTGGTGATTTGTGTCAATTTAGTTCCTTATTAGACTGCCTTACAACAGAGTGTATTTAGATGCATGGGGCACAAACAAGTGAAAACAAAAATTCATGCAAAGGAAGTATCAACAGGAAAGGAATAAGACCATCTGCTTATTTGGTAGAAGAAAGGAACTAGACAAAGTTCATGATAACCAATATGTTCAATTACTTATATTGACAAATACATGTTGAGAGAACAAGAAGCAGAGACTTACGCCACTCAAGAATATCATTTGGTGAAGGGCGGGCCACAACATGGGAGACAGGTTCCTGCAATATCACAGTCTTCACCACTTACTGAGGAGTCAGATCAGAGTATAAATGTCCAAACACACATCAGGAAGAAGAGTCTAATTAACAAGGCACAGTACATGTTGTCCAATACCAATAAGTCCAAACAAAACTTTAGGTTCAAGTTGTATAGAAAATAATAATAGAAGTGCCATGCTTTCACCTCTGGCAATCAGGAAGAGAAAAACAAAGAACATCAACTAAAATAACAAATGTTAAGCTACAATAAATTACAAGTGGTAATGTCAAGAGGGGCAAGAAGATGAAAGTCACAACGAGAGTTCATAATATGTAAGATCCAATGTGATTAACCTGCACTTTAAGTAGGACCTCTGACATATTCATTTTCATGGGAAGTAAAGGAAGCTGCCTTGTAATACAGTAAATTCATGTATAATATATTAACTGAAGGAACAAAGATACATACTTTACAAAGTGCTCTATATTCCTTCTGGAGTCGCTTTACACATGCCTTTTCTGCCATGTCTAAGCTTCAAAATGCAAGGAAACTACAGGATGATACTTCGAGTTTCACTTATTCTCTACAAGTAAACATGTGAGATTTTGAATTAAAATACAAAAAATTTGAAGGGGAAAAGATTAAGACTGGCGTTGGTATATGATACTTAAAAACATGGCCAACAAAAATCAAGTCAATATCAATCAGTGCAGAAATATAAAGAAAAAGAGGCTAAAGTATATACTCTTATCCTCCAGCTAAGAATGGTCATCAGTTCCAAAGAACAAACACTTGGAAAGTGGTGAAGCCAGGAACTGAAGGATGGAACGAACTAATATACAGAAGGATTAATGTGAATTTTCAGAAGTTAAGAGGGGACATCAGTAGATTTCTAAGGCACCTCTAAACTTCCCAAAATCTCAAAGGACAAAAGGCTGTAATCTCAAATTTTGGTGACGGACACTGCTCATCCTTTCCCCAATAAAATTCACCAGGTACATCATCCGCAGCGAACTTTTTTTCTTTTCTTTACGAGAGATAGAGTCTGTCTACAATAGAATAGAATTTTGTTTTTGATTTGTCAGAAAAGAAATTAGCTATCTGTAAAGAGGTCTGTCTATGTTCTTAAAAACAGGGATCAACGCCTTTCAATTCCCTTCTCTGTAGCAATCAAAGGAAAAATGTCTAGACATACTAGAATAGAAGTATAACAATAATAAACCAGCTATTCGAGCATCATAGTGTATGAAGTGTGTCTCAAACCAATCATATTAGAGGATAAACATGTGAACATAGAATCATTGGTGAAGCTATAAAATACAATTGGAGCCACTCTACAGCTTGGCTGAAGCAGTTGATGGCCATCTTTTCTACACAGAAATCTATTGCATATGAAAAGTAGAAATGCATGATATGTTATCACACATGACATTTTAGTGAACCTAAGTCTTTCAAACTATCCGAGAACCAATTCTGTAATTATTCACAATATTTTGTAGTGGAAACAATCAAATATAGTCGTGTTCTATTTGATATAGTTCAATATACCCTTCCTTGTGAGTACCATTCAATTATGACTGACCCTACCCTTATATTTTGACACTAACACCTTGTTTGGAAGGTTGTTAGTCATTGAATTGTTAGTTTAAATACAATATTTACTTGATTGTTACTTAAATTTTATTGTAAAGTATCATTTAAATCCATCATTAGGTAACGACAAAAAGTCTCATTTTGTGTAATAACCAATTTGATGTAATCGCGTGGTTACCTTAATATTTTCTTCTCATTTTATCTTTAATTATTATTTAATAATCTTATTATATTCTTTACACTACCGTTTCATAGTAGCTCTACCCATACTATACTTTTCTTGTAGATATGTCATTCAAATTACTGACATGTGACATTATGTAATGATGGAGAATGATAAGTCTATCCAAACATTGTATTCATTAAATCATACATGATATAATACAATACAATACATTACGAAACAGTACGGTGTAACCAGCCAAACAAAGAGTAAATGGTTGTTAAGTACGGTTTTGTAATGTATAGTTTGTATAGATTGTATTCTCCGTTACATATCAATAATTCAAATGATATATCTACAAAAAAAAGTAGAATACAGAGTACAACTACTATAAAAAAAAAAGGTACACAAGGAATAAAATAGAATTATTAAATAACCAATAAAGACATAATGAGAAAAAACAATATTATAAGATAATGATGCGAAAATACCAAATCATTCATTACACAAAATAAGACTTTTTGTCACTACCTAATGATGTATTTGAACATAAACTACAATAAAATGTAATTAACAATCAAAACAAATATAATACTTAAACTAACAATACAATATATCCGTTAACAACTATCCAAACAAATTGTAGTTTACCCTTAATTAATTTAGACCGACGGACACTATGCTTAGCTCATAAGCAAATAACTTATCCCTAAGTTTCAAACTACAAACTCATACCCGACCCAACAATTTAACAACAACAATATACCTAAATCCCACGCGAATGGAGTCTGACATGAATGGAGTCTCAAAGGGTAGAGTCGACAAAAAGAAACTCATACCCGACCCGAAACCAGTTATTTCACTTGTCCTCATTTCCTTCCAACCTCCATCAATGGAACCCTCTTCTTTCTCTCTCTCTACATTCTCCTTTCTCTCATCAATCACATATCAATGACAGAAAAAGGATTCACAGCCACTTTCATAGGAGGACTATCAGTTCAATCAAAAGCAAAATTCATAGAAAAATTCAACAAATTAGATTGCAAACAACTCACAGTTATAGAGTCGAAGGCAAGTGTAGGAACAAATAGATTACCGCACAGAAAAGGGGAATTGAAATTGAAAATCTCAAATTCCCTAGTGGAGCTTTGACCCTTTATTGAAATTTTTCTGACTCTTTTTCTGCTGCCCGCATGGGTACTATCCGTTTTTTCCTATTTGGGAAAAACAAAAAATAAGGTGCTTATTCGCGTTTTGCTTTGCTTTGCCATTTATTTGGGGCCGTTGCCATATGGTTGAAATTTTGTTTACCCATGATGCTTTCACGGCTCTGACTCATAAGAGCCCACACATCGGGTTTCGGACGTTCGCATACCTATTAATTTTGTATCGAATTATAGACATATATTAACGTAGAGATGTTTGCATATCCATTAATTTTGTATCGAATTATAGACATATATTAATGTAGAAATTTGAATAAATGGTATTAAATTAAATAGCAAGTTATTTCGTGTAGTGATCGGTCATTGGTGCTTAAAATTGTATATTACATCTGTTGTGGTTAAGTTTTCAATTTTCATTATGATAAATTCCTTGATTAGTCACTAGCTTCTGTTTATTTTTACTTATCAATATTTGATATGTATTGTTAAATGTAAAAGTGTAAAAAATTTCAAAACTTTTTCATCTTTTACTTGTTTGGTCCAATAAAATTAAACAGTAAACACCCAGCAACAAGGAGTCAGCTTGGTGTAGTGATTGTTTGGGGGTGTTTAAAGTTGTACGTTGCACTGTATTCCCACTATGATAAATTTTTGAATTCGTTATACTTATCAATATTTAATAGTTTTTCTAAAACGTGAAAGTGAAAAATTATCATAACTTTTTTATCTTTTATTTATTTGCTTCGATAATATTACCCTTTAACTTTGTTATTTGGAACTCATATGTCTCTCGTTATGAAAATCGCTCATATATGCCCTAACATTACAAAGTTGAAACATATTTCAAGTTTGTTTTTTATATGATTCCTTATTTGTTAGTTATAATGTTTTTTCTCAATTAATTCATAATGTCACACATAACGCATAGATGTCTCAACACACCGATAAAAAAAATTATTAAAAAAAATCATGATTGGACATGTGTCTAACTTTTAAATGATATTATAAAAAAGTAAAGCAAAACAAAATTTATAATAAAAAATTGATACTATATAAATTTCAAATCAATAATTTTTATATAATTGATAGAGTGTGAGATTTACCGATTTAATATCGACGGTTACTCTCCATATGAAACATGTTGTCCGAACGAAAAGAAATTGCAAATCTCAAGTTCTAAGAGAGTAGGTTTCGGTTAATGAAATGAAGCGAGGAGAAAAAATATGAAAGAAACTAAAACTAGGATTTTAATATATAGACCTCCAACTTTTTTCATATGAAAAATAATTTAATATATTGACACTGGATGGCCAAAAAGCTTATAAGAAAAATTGTATATAATAATAAATTATGATTTAAATTAAATGTTATAATCATAGTTTAATTTAATTGTAACTTGTAGTAAATTATTGTTATTTCCCTCTCTCCTAAGTTTTATCGCTCATCAGCCTCTCCCTCATCTATCTCACTTTTATACAAACATAAATGTGTAAAATATGTTTGTGTTTGTATAAAGAGAAAGAAAATTGTACATATACATATATTTTTATTTCCCTCTCTGACATCTCGCTCGCCACTCTCATTTGACTCTCTCACTTTATACAAACACAAATATATACATTGCATTTGTATAAAGACAAAGAAAATTGTATATACAAATACAAATACATATATTTTTGTCTTATACACTTACGATTATACAAATACAGATCTTTTCGTGCTCATTTCTCTTTTATTTTTCTTTTTTCTCGCTACATACAAACACAAATTATACAATTGATTCATATGTATATGTTTATTGAAACGGATTATACAATTGCTTCTTATATGTATAGCGAAATATACATATTAATAATCATAGCAAACATAAAATTTGTTATGGAGCACAATTATATAAATAATAACTATAACATATAAATATAATTTTTATATTTATTATACGTGAAAGTTACTTTAAAAGATATCCTTTAGCCCTTTTAAAATAATTTCATATTGTGGCCCTTTTCAACTAATTCCAAAACATATATAAAAAGGGTATCATTATTGTGTAGAGAATGTATTGTACATGTATTAAAAGAAATTCTATATGTATAGAATCTGTATCATCCCTATAGTATGTATATGAAAAATGTATTATTATTATATAATTGATGTATAATAAATGTATACTAATTAATTGATTAATTACAAAAAGGGGTAGTATTGAAAACACTTATGAATTACTTGACGTGAATTTATTAGCTAAATAATATTTTAAGCAAAATAGGTGTGAATGATATTTTTAAACCTTTCTCTATAGTTCAAAAATATTTTTAAGACTGTCAATAGTTCTGGAATGAAATCGACGATTCTCGCCAAGTTCAGGAGTGGTTCAACCATTCTCTTTGTTTTTAATTAAGAGTATCACAATCCTTGAAGAGTTTAAAACTACTTGGTATAATGTGACTGACAGATCGAGAGTGCATTTAAGTTTAAGCAGAAGATCTTTTAAGTAGGGCTGGGCATAAACACCGAAAAATCAAAATATCGTATCGAATCGATTTTTTTTATATTTCGGTTTCAGTTTTTCAATTTTCTGTTCGGTATTTGGTATATGTTTTTATATTTTTCGGTATTTCGATTCAGTTTTTGGTATGTAATTTGTGTTATTCGGTATCTCGATTTACCGAAATATATTTTATTATAATATATATTTATATTATATTAATGTTAAATAATAAATATTATAATTTAAAATAAAAATTTAAAAAGTAAAAGATACTTTTTGATGTAACTATTTTTAGCCCATTAAGCTGAAAAATCAAACAAAAAAATTTGTAAACTTTTAGAAGCCCAACTAAGCAGGCCTATTAAAAAAACCGAAATTAACAAAACCGAATTGAAATAATAAAAATCGAATCGAAATAATAAAAACCGAACCGAATTATTTCGATTCGATATTCGGTACACATTGTACAAGAACCAAAAACCGAAAAAAGAAAAACGAAATCGAACCGAATTACCGAATGTCCACCCCTACTTTTAAGAGTGTCAATATTTCGAAAACAAAATTAATATTTTGCTTCAGATGAAAGTATATTCTTATTACTTTTGATTTCAAACAATCTATCAAAAACTTATCTAGCAATATATACCAATCACCGAATATTATCTTTTCATACATATTCATCAATTCATTTTGCGCACTTTATTAAAAAAAACATGGATTATTTTTCGTACTAGCGACCAAATATTTGAGATCGACTCATCAAAAGGGATAAAAACAAAAATAATCAAAAGGAAATACAACTGATAAGGATATTATATATGCAACCAATCGACAACGTGTTGTTCTGGAAATGCAAGTTTGTAAATATATAATATTATTATTAATATTGGGTCATAAATAGTTTAAGATTTTCATCCTAGTGAAGTGTGCGATCCTTCTTATTCACACTCAAATTCGTAGATTATTCATGAATTTAGAATTCTACTATTATATCCAAAGTATGAAACTTAAAAATCAAAGAATATTGCAAATCCTTTACATGGTCCAGAAGGTGTCCATCGAACGTAACAAACCCAAACTCTAATATCATATTTAATTAGGTTTTAAATCTAAATTCACGACATCCTGAAAAATTAGCTTATAAAAAGTAATATAAATTCTTGTCTTTATCCGATATGGAATTATTTTTTATTTAAGGTGTCAACTTAGCGAGGTTGGATTGAAATTCAAGATATTAGAATAAGTTGAAAATAGTAATTGGATTGGGTCTTGGTTTTCCGAAGTTAACTTTGGGCTCAAATGAATTTGAAATGGGTTGAGTCTTGATCTGTTCAATTTGACCCTCTTAATTTCAATATAATATTATTTAAGATGTATAACCATATTTTGAATTTTTTTAAAAAAGAAGAAGTCACAACTGTGTAGAAATTTTTTAAAAGTTATATAAAATAGACAGTAATCCATACCTTCCATTTAGTAACATACATATATTACATGGGATAATTATATGTAATAGCAAACTAATAACCTAAAATAAATGAAGTAGCTATGGTTTGATTTAATTGTGCTCCATAGCAAACGTTAGCCAAAGTTTGTCAATCTCCTCTCTCCCAAAAATCTCGCTCGCCACTCTCCCTCTACTCGCCTCTCTCGCTTTATACACATAAGTGTATAAATTGTGTTTCTGTTTTGTATAAAGCGAGAGAAAATTATATATACACATGCAAAAACATATATTTTCGTGCTATACACTTAATTATACAATTTACAAACATTTTACTTCAATTCAATTGCAGACAAATGCAATTTTTATACAAATATTGCAGCGAAAAAGGCCAACGAATTATACAATTGCGAATTATACAATTGTAGTGAAATACAATTTTCTCTCGCTTTATACAACAAAAGTGTATATATTGTGTTTCTATTTTGTATAAAACGAGAGAAAAATATATATCTTCTTCCTATACACTTATAATTATGCAATATACATACATTTTACTTCGATTCAATTGTATGCAAAGCAAATTTTATACAAATATTGCAGCGAAATAGGGAGCGAATTATACAATTGTGCATTAAACAATTGCAGTGAAATAGGATATCGAATTATACAATTACAGCGAAATAGGCCAGCGAATTATACAATTGTATATGTATAGCGAATTATACAGTTTTATATTTGCTGTGGAGCACAATGATGCAAACTTTGGTATAGCATACAAATATGAATTTTTTGTTTGTTGTATGTGAAAGTTGTCCATATTACATCAATGCAAATAAAGAGTCTTAAAAAAGGTTAAAATTGAAAATTAAAATTGAACTTAACTGAGAATTCTCTTAAAATGAGTTAAGACTTGAATTAGTTGGAATTAAACACAATTCAAATTTTTAGAATCCAACCTTTAAAATTATGAACGGATTGGATGAATTACCTATAATTGAACTCATTTTGGCACCCCTAATTTTCATCAATACAATGTAGTACTTCCTCCGTTTAAAAAAGAATAACCTATATTAACTTGAAATGGAATTTAAGAAAAAAACTTGTAATTCTAAATTAAAACTATGCCACAAAAACATCCGTTAATTTTATGACCTTAAACATATTACGTAAAAAATTAAAATTAAAATATTTAAAAAAAGGTCATTATTTTTTTTTAAAGGTTGTTTTTAAACCAGAGGGAGTAGTTTCTTTGTGGATTGTGATATATGGGTCAATTTCTTTAAGAAAATAAGAATAAGAAAGATCACTAGTTTTAGGCTATTACTTTTATTATATGGAAAAAAAAAAACTCACAAATTATGCGTGAAAAGGAACAAATAGAAAGAGAAACAAAACAAACTTGCTAAAATATGAAAAGTCAATTTTAGACTTTTCGCCGCAGAGCGAAAAGGACGAAAATACTTTAATTATTTGCGGAGAATGGGGGTGAAGTCTACCGTCTATGTTCTAGAAACTAGCAAATGCATTCGTACTCCAAATTTAATTAATAAAAAAATGAAGTGCAAATTTACAAAGATAAACAAATTGATATGACAGGACTTAATTTTTTTTTTTAAATGCTTTTGCGCATGGTTTATATTAAGTTTTTGATTAATTATACCTATTAGTTTTAATATGTTGTAAAGACTAAAAAAAGATGTTGTGTATAGTTAAATGATATAGGCCAAATACATAAGCAGATTCATGAATTTATTGGGTTTTTTTTCTTAGATATCTTAACTATATCATTTTTCTATTGAACCCGTTGTCTGATGTGAAACCAGATTTGTGAAGGGTATTGATAGAGGATACATATGTTGTTTCCACAATTCATTAGTCCAATTGGTAGTGAAAATGTTTGAGAATAATTGTGTTTTACTTAAGTCATTTGAACATATTAGAAAACAAATGAGACTAACACGATTTGTCTTCATTTATTTAATCAACATTACTGCAATTCGAACATAATTGAAGGCATTTACCATAGAAAAACCGATCAAAATCAAGTAACAGTGTAAATTATGTGTGGTTTAATAATCAATAGAAAAATAACGTAGTTAAGATACGTGAGGAAAAACCCCTAACAAATTTAAGGATCTGTTTATGTATTTAGCCAATGATATAAACATATTTTAAGCATTCAATACAATATATATATATATATACACACACCTAAAAATCGTAATTTAAGTGATTAAAGAAAATGTACCGACAAATTTAGAGATTGTCAGTGCATTTAACTTCTAATAGAAAAATGAGCCAAATACAAAAATACTCGTTAACTATGTGACAAATAAAACAATTTTTTCTGTTTGAATTAGTCTAAAATACACTCTTATTTTACTTTGGAATAACTCCTATTTATCTATCAACCATGAAAAATAAAATAAGTCATGATAACCCTTAAGCGGGTTCTAGCAGTGCTCCAGATACAACTTTTTATTGCCAAACTTTTTTTTTTTAAAAAATAATTTAATTTTTCATTTGATCAGTATTCGTATTGGAGTCTTAATCAAATTTTACACATTATCTCTATTTTAGAGGCGGTGCTTCTAACGGTTTTTTAAATATTCAAAATTTGAATATATGTATATATGTGTGTGTGTGATGTGTCATAGTTCTTCGATCAGATTTCCAATTATCTTTCTCATATTTTTGGAAAGTTTCCCTTAATTTTAGGATAAATATCCTAAAATTATCCAAAAATTAAGAGAAAATCCTAAGAATTATTTTATTTTTCATTGCTGATAGATAAATATGAAATATTTCAAAGTAATAAGAGTGTATCTTGGACTAATTCAAATGAAAAAAGATTATTTTATTTCTTACTATTATTCAATATTTATGAATTTGACTCATTTTTTAATTAAAAGTTAATTATGTTTAAGGATAAAAGAATCTCGCCGCTAACCTATGATAGTACCAAAAGCATTTACCAAACTTCTAAAAGAGTAGGAGGAAAGAAATAAAAAGGTAGGAGGACAAAAATAAAAAAAAAATTAGAAATAAAATATTAAAGAAATTCATGAACTTAACACAAATTATTAATTTTATTTTTAAATTATTGATAAACTTAAAAATTCTCAATTAAGAAATATTTTTAACTAAAATTGAGAATATTTCTAAGCTTGACTATAATTTAGGAAGGGAATTTTTCAAAAGTTGCATAATTAAAGGAAATAATTAAGCTTAGTTGATATATACATAAATATCTTTAATAAGTTAAATATAAATTTAATAATTTACGTCAGGGTTTATTAGGTTTATGCCCACTAAGTTTGAAAGGAACATGAACATTGGAATTGTCTTCTTCGATACGTGTGCTTGCGTTAGAGGCGGTTTGCTTATTTAATTTTTGACCATTTTTTAATTTCCCCTTTGTTCTTTAAAATATGCGTAGATTCATATCACACAAAACCATAAATCTCATCAGCAAAACCACAACTAGTACTATTTCGTCTTCTTCTTCTCCAAATTCTCCATCACTTTCTCCTAATTCTCCATTAAATTCTCTTCTTCGTTTCTTCTCCGCTCTTCCTGCTTATTCTCCTGATTCAATGGCTTCAGATTATTCAGCAACTCACATCACTGTTGATAATATTAATCCAAAGGTAACAACATATGTACTCAATTTTACGTTTCACGTTTTTTTTTTATATGTTGATCGGAATTTTGTATTGTAAAAATCAGTTGCAATTGAGAAATCGGTACTGATCGAGGATTTGACGACGCATATTTTGTTTCTGCGTTATTATTATACTAAATTACTGCTTGTTTTTAGTGTGAAATCGTAACGGCTTTGTTCCGATTCAATGTCTAAGGAGAAGTAGCGTATTTCTTCTTTGGATAATTGGTGATGTGAAAATCATTAGAGAGTTATGGATCTTATTAGAGAGTTTTAATGGTACATGACTTTTTGTTGTTGCGTATTTGATTTGTTGCTTTTTTACAAATGATGTGATTTTTGGTAGTTTACTTGTATATTATGATTACTTGACTGATACAACTTTATTTCTGGTAAATTTTGTTGGTTTCAGGTTTTGAAATGTGAGTATGCTGTTCGTGGAGAGATTGTATCAATTGCTCAGGTAGTTCATGGTTTTTGTTTGTTGATTTTTGTGAACTGAATATTGAACCAGCGTTTTGGGGTTCTGTTGATTGAGCCATTATGTTATCTGGATCTGCTGAAGAATTTGTTAATTCTCCTTACACATTTTTCTTTTTGATGCAGACATTGCAGCAAAGGCTCAAGGATAATCCAGGTTCTCATCCTTTTGATGAGGTACGAACTCTTGTACACTAGTTTTCGACTTCATGTTTTTGCTTTACAATGCCGTGTTTTATAAATACTTCATTATCATTTATGTAATTGATGCTGGTTTCTGGACTATATCTTCAATAGAACTAGTCTTACCGAGCTTTACATAGGTACTGTCGGACATTTTAAGTTTTCTGGATTTATTGTGTACTCATTCATCAGATTACGTGCAGATCTTATATTGCAATATTGGAAATCCTCAAGCACTTGCTCAGCAGCCTATCACTTTCTTTAGAGAGGTGGGCTTAAATTACTCTATTTTTTCTCCCCAAAAATTAATTGACTCAGCTAGTGATTTCTAAGGATGATTTATCTATATTAGGTCCTTGCGTTATGTGATCATCCATCCATTTTGGACAAAAGTGAAACACAAGGTCTATTCAGGTATGAAGTTTGTCTAAGGAGTTTTTGGTTATGCTTTAGAAAGAGGAGATTTTTTCAATATACAATATGAAACTGGTTATAGACTTTGAGACATTGCAATAGCTGTCTTTCATTCTTTTTTTGCTTTTGTAGCGCGGATGCCATAGAACGAGCTTTCCAGATCCTTGAACAAATTCCTGGGAGAGCAACTGGTGCATACAGCCACAGTCAGGTGACCGTCTTCTCATGAGATTGTTCCATATTTGTGGAGTGTTATGTAGGTTCGATAAATATAAAACTTTTTATTGTATTCTCTATATATAGGGTATCAAAGGATTACGTGATACAATCGCTTCTGGTATGGGAGCTCGTGATGGTTTCCCTGCTGATCCAAACGATCTTTTCTTGACTGATGGTGCAAGCCCAGCGGTAGGTTAAATGTATATCCTTGTTATTTTCACAACTTTGTGGGAAATAGAATCTGAGGTAGTTGGTATTGTTGCTTCTTTACCTTTTTATTCAGGTTCACATGATGATGCAGCTGCTCATCAGGTCAGAGAATGATGGAATTCTCTGTCCCATTCCCCAGTATCCTCTTTACTCTGCTTCAATCGCCCTCCATGGTGGAACTCTTGTAAGTTCTGTTGCTTTAAATAAAATTGATTTATGATAGTTGCATAGTTGTCTGAAATTATTGAAAAATATCTATAGAAATATTACAGAAGGCCTAGTTTGACTGCTTTTGGGAGAGTTCTTTCGAAAATACAACTAGTGCATGCATTGATATGATCAACTTATGCTTAAAAGACCCTTTATTGATTCTTGAAAGATAGTTCATTGGGAAGTTCTTAATATTTGCATTTCATTTTGTTTTGTAGGTTCCTTATTATCTTGATGAACAAACAGGCTGGGGGCTTGAGATCTCAGAGCTTGAGCATCAGTTGAAAACTGCAAAATCCAAGGGTATTGATGTTAGGGCTTTGGTTGTGATCAATCCGGGCAACCCAACTGGGCAGGTAGGCGTTATTTTGGAAGGCTCATCTATGATTTTTCTTTAGAATTAGGAACATAATATACTTCTCTGACTAGAGATTGCCGCAACGGAATATGATTCCTTCTCCCCCTTCCCCAAAAATTCGATAAGAGAGGATAAAAGATGAAAAAGAAAAAACAGAAAAAAATCCCTACTAACCTTTTCATATTGCATGAATATTTTCCTATGCATGACTATAGGTTCTTGGTGAGGCCAACCAACGGGAAATTGTAGAATTCTGCAGGAAGGAAGGTCTCGTCCTTCTGGCTGATGAAGTAAGTCAATTATCCTCTAAAGTGCTATTATGCTTGATGTGACAAATTCTTTTGCTTCCTCTGGAGCTTGATTATCAGTGACTCTAAACTTGTTTTAAAATGTTCCGCTATCAGATTTTGTATTTCTCAGTAATCTAGGGTTGTATTAAACTTCAACAGTGTAGTTCTTTTTTGTAACTCGTTGAACTCATACAGGTTTATCAAGAAAATGTTTATGTGCCTGACAAGAAATTCCACTCATTTAAGAAAGTTTCCCGCTCTATGGGATATGGGGAAACGGATATAACCTTAGTGTCTTTTCAGTCTGTGTCAAAAGGTACACGTTTCACTATATCTTGCCTCACTTATTTCTTTGGGTGGTGGGTCAGTGTGGTTTAAGGGGATAGGAATTTATATTCTTCCAAATGCGAATACTTTTTGTTCTGATCTTTTTATATATATATATTGGTGCCGTTAGGGTTCTATGGTGAGTGTGGAAAGCGAGGAGGTTACATGGAGATCACTGGTTTTAGCCCTGAAGTGAGGGAACAGATATACAAATTGGCGTCTGTCAATCTGTGTTCCAATATCTCTGGTCAGATACTTGCAAGCCTCATCATGAGTCCCCCAAAGGTTAGTATTGCTATTTCCCAATAGTATGTTCCCGCTTTGCATATTCTGCAAAGAGGAAAAGGTTAATGCTGAAAGCATGGGTTTATTCAGGTAGGAGATGAATCATACGAGTCTTTTTCTGCCGAGAAAGAAGCAATACTCTCGTCCTTGGCAAGACGTGCAAAGGTTAGTGAGAACTTACAAATAGGACAAGCTTGACCTGATTATCAACCTGACAATAAGAACTGCTAATATAGCAAAGCAAAGATGATGTCTGTCATATACCTAACAGAGTTCTTTTAGCTTCAGTTTATGAGCTTCTATCTGTTAACTTGTTAAATGATCTAATTCTCGTGTTTATTGCACATCTCATTTAACAATACCATCAGACACTAGAAGATGCACTGAATAGTTTGGAAGGAGTGACATGCAATAGGGCAGAAGGGGCTATGTATCTATTTCCGTGTATCAACTTACCCGACAAAGCAATAAAAGCAGCAGAAGCAGCTAAAACTGCACCAGACGCTTTTTATGCTAAACACCTTCTTAATGCCACTGGAATCGTTGTTGTTCCAGGCTCTGGATTCCGCCAGGTATTCTTACAGTTATAACTTTGCCATCTGGTCAATGTCAGTATTAAATTTACCCGATTCTTTCACTTGAATTGTATATAGGCATTTTTAATCATCTCTTACATATTTAGTATTGGTTCTTCCTTGTGTATAGGTTCCTGGAACCTGGCATTTTAGGTGCACAATATTACCACAAGAAGAGAAGATACCAGCTATCGTGTCTCGTCTGACAGAATTCCATAAAAAGTTCATGGATGAATTCCGCGGCTAAGGAATCAGAGAGTACTTGCTACCTGAACCTAACAACAGAGAATTTTGAATAAGCAGTGCCTGTTGACTCCTGCCTGCGTATGTTTTGTCTGCCTACTTCTGTAGTAGAACTGTTATGGGGTTTTACTGAATCTACCTCAATTTTATAATTATAGTGAAATGAGTTCAAGTCGAAATCCCAACGGAAAGTTAAATAAATTTAAGAGGTAGAATTAGCATTTATAATTACTCAAAAAAAAAGACTAAAGTAATAGTACGAAAGGAGTATAAAATAACAATAATATTGAATAGTACTTCCACTTTGAATATTGATGATTGTAATTGCATGTAATCCATGCGTTTGGCCTTGTAAATTTTTCTTCAGATTTTCTACTAGTAAGTAGAAATTTATTTCGTAACTCCAAATTTGTTTCGTAACTCCACAGCTTCGATGGTATCGAAGTGAGTTTCTGGTATCCAATTTCCAGTTTTAGGATCTCTCATCCTTCTCTACACTCGATTTCGACGTTGAAATCGAAGGAGACGAATCGACTAATTTTTGATATTTGAAACAATAGTCCGCACTTTAAAATCCTCTACTGTGTATCTCAGAACATTGCTGAAGGTGGTAACCCTAGACATATTATTTATTTACGAAGAGTATATTGACAAGTGATATATAAATTTGAAAGTTTAATTCAGCAATATCTCTTTTGATTGATGGTTAAAAGAATATTGAACTATAATATATATATATATATAGGCAAAGCTAGTTGAATTAGTAACGTAATAGGATTTGGATTACAAGAAGAGACTAATAAAGTTATTAACCTAATAGAACTGGATTATGAGACACGTCACTTAAACATATCATCAAACTGAAATTATGTTTATGAATTACTTACCTGATTTTGTATTCATATATACTTATCAATAATTTAGCTAATCTTTATGAAATTAAATTAAGTGAAAGAGCCAACTCAAATTATATAGTTATATTAGTTTTTTTTAAAATAATTAAATATGTGAAGGAATATTGACACATAATTATTGGCCTTGCTTCTGGTATTCTATTAGATGGTCATTTTAGCTCAAAAAAAAATTTCAATTATGAATTCGAAACTAAAATTGACATTTATCCCTGATTAATTTTCAGAATATTTAAGTGAAACACGAGTAACTTATTAAATTATATTCTGTACTTATTATTTTTATGATGAACGTAAAGAAAAACAAAAACACAATTTAAATGGGAGCATATATTGATTTGATGTAACATTGTGTTTGCCTATTAGATTTTTTTATTGATCCTCTCCTATAATATGCACATACATTTAATGTGCTTCCAATTGAATGGTCCTTATTTTCCCCTCGATTTAATCATATATGGGCTATGGTCCCCCCTATTGTACGTTAATAAATGTAAAATTTCTTTTCGAGTTAAAATGTGGAAATTGTGCTAAGAATATAAAAGATAGGTGGTTGAAAATAAAAATTATGAGCGTCAATAATAAGCTCAAATTTATGTAACCAATTCAATTCATTCGGCATTTTAAGAGTTGGACACAAGATAAATAGAATTAGGTTCAATTTCAATTTATTCAAATTTTAATATATTTAACGAGAATCCTTAATTGAGCCTTATTTAATCTGTAATTTCAACTCGTTTTAAGACTTTTTATTTGCTCTTATGTAATGTATTGAAGATATAAATTACTATCTATTTTATATCTTTTAGGATTTATCTATTCATTTATAACTTTTTTTTAAATATAAAAGTTAAATAATAATACATTAAAATATTGAGATTAAATAGGATTAAATTGGGTGGATCATGATCCAATCGAATTTTTACCTAACTTGAGCTCAAAGTTAACTTGAACGGATGAAAAAACAACTCAAATTCTATTTTAACTCATTTTAATATCTCTAATTTCAATTTGGACGTTAATTTGACACCACCAATGAAAATGTGTACTATATAGTGAGTAATTTTCCCAATTAATTTGTTGTACTATCACTTCTCTTGCCCTTACACATTCTTCTTTCCCTTAATAGATTTCAACAACCAAATACATCAAATGGGCTTTACAAAATTGAAAGAAGAGTGTACTAAAACTCACCATGAAGTTAAAAGCAAGCAAAGAGATGTAGTTTCATCATTTTCTCATCAGAATTATTTAAAAGATCCCAATTTTCTAAAATCTAGAAAAATTAAATCCATAATATTTCTTATGAATCATATTAGAGATCATTATTCTTGCAATGCTCTTTACTACTCTAATTATTTTCTCAAATGTTGTTTCTTCTGTCATAAGCCTCTTGACCTTCGCAAGGAAGTTTACATGTACAGGTATATAATTTTGCGTTTCAGTTCATGTGATACTTCGTCTTTTAGTTGTCTAAAAAAACTCAAATGTATCATCGAACTTTGAGAAAAAGTTTATTTATGTTATCCGTTAAAAGTTTGTCTTGTCTATATCATTTTCGTTTGAGAAAAAACTCATCTATGTCATTATTTGTTAATTGAAATGACATAAATAAGTCAAACTTTAAACGGATGACATGAATCTTTTCTCAAACTTCGATAGCATATTTGAGCTTTTTCCTTTTAAAAGAATAATTTAATTAACAACATGGTCTGGTCAAACCATAATTGACCACTTGAAAAAATTATTTTGCAAAACCATAATGGCATGGATAAACCTTTTTTAAACAGAGATAATATAGATGAATCAAACTTTAGAAAAATGACGTAGATGAGCCAAAGTTTACACATATGACATAAATAATACTTTTGTCATAATTAGTTGGTATATTGGAACGTTCTCCCTTGAAAAATAACGTCTTCTCTCCCTCCCACAATATATGTGTGTAATTGCAAAGATTTGGCCACAATTTAGGTGCAATTTTTGCCATTTTTTCTATTAAAATATTTAGAAATAATTTAATTATAGATTTATTTTATTCCTAATGAGAGAATTTATTTTAGACTACATATTTTGAAAATCATTTCTTAATTTTAAGGCATTGTGCACAATTACATATATAATCCTATAGAGTGAAAGATAGTTAGCTCTACTTAATGCCAGATAAATCAGGATGCATTTTTTTTCCTCTGAGTTAATTACCTTCTGTTTGGTCATAAATTTTGAAATTAAATATTGAAAACATAGAGTTTTAAAAATTGATATTAAAACTTGAAATACATTTTAGTGGGAAAAAAAGTTGATATTTTATAAGTGGAAGTGTTTGTCTTTAGTTTCTGAAAACTTGAAAAATTGTAAAGATTAAAATTATAAAAGTTTATTCAAAATTTATGATCAAACGTTAGCTTAATTGCGCTTAATTTTAATAGAATTTATAATGCAGGGGTGAGCTGGGATTCTGCAGTGTGGAATGTAGAAATAGACAGATATACCTAGATGAATTGAAAAAAATTGAGACTTTTACTAAAAAAATATTGGCGTCTTTGATCCGCCGGCGTCGACAGGTTGGCCGGAGTTCTCTGATTACCGCTCCATCGGAGGATTACCGGCGATGTGACGCTAAGAATCAAGTTACATTCATCTTTTCATAGTTCATCAAAATTTTGTGTTAATTTTATAGCTAAACAGAAAAAATTACGCTATTTTTTTATGGGCTAAGAATGAAATTTTGGTGGGTACTACCAATTTAGAGATCAACAAATTAGTTAGACTTACAAGTTTTTGGTAGAGACGAATTTAGTATTTTTTTTTAATTATATGTTTATTAAGTAAACTTGTCTTTTGTATATACCATTTATTGTTTTTTATAAAATAATTATAAATACAATGTACTTTTTCATGAAGAATTTATTTATCGGAAAAGGGCCTAAAATATCTTCGAAGTATTGAAAATGGTACACAATTATCCTCCATCCACCTATTGGCTCCCAAATACCCTTCACATCCACCTTTGGGTCCAAATTTACCCTTTCATTAATAGACCAAAATTAAAAATAATTAAATAATAATTTTTAATGACGTGACACTCAATCATTGGTTGTAATTTAATTATTTAAAATAATTTTAAACCCACCTATTACCCACCCATTTTAACTAAACCCACCAATTACTTTCTCATTCATTTTTCCCTTATTACCCTTTTCTCTCCTAGAGTGAGCGAAGAAGATGCCAGAAATTATGGATACGACAGACACTTCCAGAGGAGCATGTACAACATAAGCTTTTTCTCGAGTACCTCTATCTTTCATGCATTCCTGCAGAATAAGAACAAATCAGAGTTCCAGCCAGCCTGTTGAGTCTTAAAACATTTGTCAGAAATTATAACATTATGAAGGAAAAAAATTGAACATAAGAAAAAAAAATGCAGAAATAAGAATTTTCATATGGATTAACTTTATTAGTTTGAAGAAGCGAATTCTTAAAGTTGTTGAGCTTGATGACCATTTCATCCGGCAAGGCCAATGAAA